TTAATTAACATTGAGAAGAATTAATTTCTTAACTTTATTAAAAAATATTAATTAAAATAGATTAAGAATCAAAAATGCTTGAAACCTGTGATTCATATTGTTATTATTTTCCAATAGGGGAAAAAAAGCTTAGGGTAAGTCTTCCTAATTCTTAAAGAGAAAGCATATGAATACCATTGCTTATCTTAAAGAGAAAAATCTTGTGATAATTAAAAGAAAGGTATATGTAAAAGCACTTAGTACAGTGCCCGGAAGACAGTAGATGTTTGGCAAATGTAATTCTCCTTCTTTCCTTTCTCCTTTCTACAGATGGATTCCTAAACAACCCTCAAGATGATCCTGAATCCTGAGAGTTCTAAGTCCTCCCCGCTCTGTCATTCACTTTGGTTCTGCCCTTTTGCTAAAGCCTAACAAATATCTCCATGCTTCACAAATTCTTAGGCTGTTCATTTTGTTTCTACTTGTGTCTAAATAGATGAAAGTCACAAGACATGCCTAGTCAGGATGCAGCACGCTTTAAGGATTCTGCCTTTTACCCGGGTCTATTTTTAAGTTTCAAGCTCTGAGAACATACTGTGTATGGATGTGAGTAATAATGCTTGTTCAGCTTTCCTTTTGAAAAAGGTTTGGGACCTTTCCCATCTCCTTCTAGGACAGCAGAATTTCCAAGCTACATGTAGAGATTAACATTCTCTCTGGGGCACCTACAAAATTTGCTGTTGGGACCTCTGGGTTTGAGGTACAAACTGGCAGATTTAACAGGCTTCTAACATTCCCTATACCTCAACTATAGCTAAAGTTATTGAGTTCCATTCTCTGTCATTAATTTATGCTTTACCAGTTTTTTTAAATGGTAACTAAAACTGTTCAATAATATATTAATACTTAGTCTATTTATATGTAATGATTTATGGTAATAATGTATTATATATTTAGTTTATTTATACCCATCATTTTATCACAAAAAATTAGGGTAGCTTTTATCAAAACACATGATAAATGTATAAGATAGAAAATCAGGGCCAAAGAAAAAAGGTGCCTGCTAGTCTACGTGGTTGTTGTGACTGGGCCTCTCATTTAATTATGACCTCCCTGGCAGCCAGGACGACGATTCTCATCAGAAAGGCAAAAGTACGCCAGTATCTAGAAGTGAGATAAAACTATACCCTACATTCTAAATAAAATTATACATGACTTCACATAGGAGACACAGAACCATTTAAGGACCAAACTGTTGGTATAGTCACAACAAATTAAGAAGTGGGTTTCAGATGGCAATTTTCGATGGTATAGAACTAAAGAACAACTTTGAAAATGTGTGATATTTAAAGTGTTGAGACCAGTTCTGAAAGTGTCTGGAAATGCAGTTGATCCCAGTGGAAAATGTAGGGCGCTTAGAGAAGGGAACAGATTCAGTGTCTTGGATAACCCTCCAAGAATGCCACTTTTTACAACTCAACTGCTGAAAGACCATATAAGAGATCACGCTTTTAGACAAAGGTTTAGCAGTCTCGGCTTCTACACTAGGAAAAATCCTTAAACTCTTAAAATCAAATGAGCAAGCACCAACGTGTTAGGCGCCTATCTCACGCTCCAGCCTGAACTGATGACCACCCTGTGTATGAGTGTATGGGAGCGTTGTATTAAGAATCTTCACAATAACCTGACTTGATTTAACAAAGTAGGATTGGCTGAGGTATAAGATACCTTCATCAGGCTGTGCTTTCCTTACCCCTTCTCATTTAAAACCCACATGTCACTTCAACAGGCGTCTTTCCTCACCTCCTGTGCTCAGGTGGGGCTCCCTCATGCATGGTCCTAGCTTACCACTCATCATACTTCAGCTGTAATTCGGTGTTTAATGTTTTTCCTGCCCTCCAGGCAAGAAGAGGACAGGAATTCTATCTGTCTTTCTCTTATTATGATATCACCGTGTCTAGAATAGTGCCTGCTTTGTTATTTGTCCTCCAATTCATTTGCCACAGGATTGAATACATGCATAATTTCGCTACGTTTCAGTTTCGCTTCCTAGATCATTCCATTCATCAGGAGTGAGCTCACATAGTATGTATGTTGGATGTAATAGGATGTAAACATGATTTAATCTTTAAAACCATCCTATGAGAGAAATATGATTATTATCTCCATTTTACTGATGAGAAAACTGGGGCACCAAGAGCGTAGATAATTTCCCAGGATCATACTGTTGGTAAGTGGTGCAGCTAGGATTCATTCTTGGGCAGCCTGGCTCAAAATCCACAATCTTCACCTTCGGATAATATGAAATCTACAACAAAATTACCTTTAGGGATCCTAACAATTTCATCTTCTCACACTCAAGAGTGTAATAGAATCCACCTACTACGCTCTTACTGACTTTAATTATTGGTAACAACTTGTTTTAACCTGTGTCTCCTTGATAAAAAGCTAAGATTAGATATCATCTCATTGTTTATTGACTCATTGTATTTTTTGGAAACTAGAGCACATGTGTTTTAATTGATAGGAAATAAAGAGGAAAGAAAAGGCCAAGAAATAGACCAATAGAAATAGTTTAGGCAGGCCAATAGGCCTAACTAACTAAACTAACTAAAATGTTGCCCTTAGAAACTCAGAGGCAGGGGGGAAGGTACCCAAGGAGGTCATTAATTGGTCCTCCAGGCCAGTCCTCTTCAGAGAGGAAAGGGGACAGATGTTACTAATTTTATCAAAACGACAGGCATAAAGCAGGACTGTCCCAGACAAACTGGGATGCCGTGTCACCTTACCTATTTTTTACCATTGGATTAGGCTAGTTTTAGTGCTGAGCTGTGGTGGTTGCTACTGGTTATCCCAAATAGTTTTATTCTGCATATGATGTGGGCCACGTTCGTTTTGTAAGATTCCAGGAATGGCACAACTATGTGTACTGTGCAATTTGTCACCTCAATTTGTCCTCCTGGGAGACTACACACCTATTCCAATGATGTTGCAATTGTTCAGAATATTTTCTGTAATTCTATTTGGCATCTCCTTCTGAACCAGTTAATGGTCTCTTTAAAAAGTCAATATGAATACATCTTGTTAATCTTTTTATTCCACTTACTCAGCTCCTTGCATGTAGAGACAGTCAATAAATATTTTCTGAATTCAACAAAATGGAATTAGTTTCCAAAAGTTCGAAATTACATTCAGAGGACAAAGATTTCTCACTTCTGAGTCTATTCAGTAGGACGAAACTCAGAATAAAAGACTGCAAAAATATATATATCTCTATATATATGTACATGTATATCTCCACATATATATAAAACACATTAAAAATGCCTGTCTCTGGGTTTTAGGATTATAATTATGAATTCAGAAAACAATAAGAACAAGAGAAAAATTAAAATTTCAATATGAACGTGTATTATTTTTAAATTTAAAAAATTATGATTTTGTTTTGTCTTTACATATGATGCCTCATACATATTTGAATAATTTCAAAGAATTTCTCAAATATGTTACATAATCTTGCCATTTGGGGAATATGTGTGCAACTTTCAAAAGTGATGACTTTGAAAGGGACAACACACATTTAGATGAGGACATTCTGTAATGTTTGTTTTAAAAAATAATCCACCGCTTTATAATCATGCTTCTATTTTAGATGTTTTTGTGAATATAAGTCATGACATGGATCCTATGAGGGACATGATTTTAAAAATAAGAGAAATAAACAGATGACACTCAGGGTCAGGGCACACAGCCAGCTGCCTGGGGAGTAGTCTCTAAAGCTGTGCTGTCCTCCAGGCCTGTGGAATCGAGCAGCCATGTGGTTCAATCAGCAGTTCTGCTTCGTGATAAGCAAGATGGGCCTTCACCTGGCCAGATATCGAGAGACTGAGAACGTTAGTTACCATTTCAGCTTTATGGAATGAAATTGAACCATAGAAGTTGCAACAGTTTGCCTCCACTGGGAGTGCAGTGAGGGCCTATTGAGCTTTCAGACCAGAGCCTGGGGAGGGCATACAGAGAGGACCCACATCAATACACATGTATTTCTGTCAACTGCATAACCAACTAAAACAGCCACACCCTCAACTCAAACTGCCCCATAAACCAAGAGCTAATTAAACACAAACAGAGTTGTTATCACTCACCGCGGGATGGAGTGGTGTATGGTGAGGGCGTTCTGAGTGAGGGTGTCCATGTCAATAATGAGGCTTTCTATGAAGAGAACTTTCTTAAACTTGTTGATGGGAGAAGGAGAGGGCGGAGGGGGAGGGCACTGTGGCCGCGGTGATTTAGGTTAAAGGAGGCCATTTCACCGGCTTCTCTTGAGCCCGGGCCCCTGGAAGGGGGCCACATTTAGAGCAGATGTTCCCGAGTGACTGTGACTGCTGCTTTCTCTGTAGGGGAAGACGGGGCTGGGCTGAAAAGGAGGCGGCTCCATGGGAAACCAGCCCTGGTTCCCCTCTGGCAGTGGAAAGGAGAAGCGTGCTGCCCGTTGTCAAAAGAAAACATTGTAAAGTACCTGTTTATGTGCTGAAGTAATTTCTAATTACGTGGTCTGGTGTGGTTAGAAGAGGGAGCTCAGCCCCAGGACAGTGGCCATCCTGTTCTTTCTGCCCTGAGCCTCCTCGTGTGACTGACGGGCTGCGAGTCACCTCACCTCCTCCTTTCTCCAAGCTCCCAGCTCTATGATTTGGCTAAAACTTCGCATTCATTCAGTCCTTAGCATCCGGCAATTCTCAAGCCCCTTAAAACTTTAGACTAATTAATAGCATCCGTTTGAGGCTGGAAATCATTATTATAAAGATGACGATGCCTTTAGTTGATGGCACACAGAGTTTAAGACGTTTCCTGCCAAGGGTCAGAATCCCTAAATGTGGGTGAGAGCTAATCTTGGGCTATCACCATTCAACTCCACACCCTCCTAGACCACACCAGGGACCTCACAGGGTGCTCTGAGGATAAACGAGTGCTTATTCAGCCTTTGGGACAACTCAGATTAGGTGTTGGAGAAATACAAAGCATTTATCATACAGATGGGGGTTTATTTTCTCAAAGCCACACAAGCATTCTTGAACCCTCAGCTTGTGGGGTAGAGCTCCTTCCTGGGCATCTGCTCTCCACTGGAGACGTCACAAGTACAGGCTGTTGGAAGTAGGATGAATTACTGCTACTTCGTTTTGTTTGTCAATTTTCCTCTGAAAAAAAATCGCAACATACTCCTTGAAAAAATAAACTTTAAATAATCAAAAAGTACATCGAGTCCAGAGTGACAACGAAAAGAACAATCCTGCCTCAACATTTATCCCATACCCACCCCCAGGGACTTCCAATTAGACTTCCCAGGGCCAAACACTCTCCAGCTTCTTATTCGTCCTTCCAAGCAATAACAAAATTAACAATATTTGGAAGGTCAGAAAGCACAGTGTGACTGCCAACTCCATTATTTTCTAGCTACGTAATTTGGCCAAGTTCTTTAAGCCTCTCTAAGCTTCAGTTTTCTCATCTATAAAATGGAAATAATTATAAAACCTACTTCTCAGGGATATTTTGAAGATTAAATAAGATACTCATTTTGTACAATTAAATAATGTTCACTGTTCGTTTTAAGAATACATACACTCCTTTTTTGACAAAATAGAATCATTCCAGGTATGAGTTTTGCAAAGTGGCTATTTTTTATCCAATCTTCTGCCATGCCCAAAAGGATCTTCCCCCATGTTAGTTTGTAAAGATGGGGTAATATTCAGAGTGTTAACAACCAGCCTGACCCAGATCCTGAGCAGGCAGAAAGAATGCACTGAATAATTTGAACAGATGCTAAGCAAAATTAGCAGATGGGTACCACTGAATATCAGCAATGTCTAGACAGCCACCTTATTCTCTTTCATTTTAACCACCTCTTTAGTTTCGTTAGAACATTCCATCATTTCAATAGTATTTTTTTTAAAACATGCTAATATATACTTGATTTCTTGCTTAATGACTTTGTGTCAAAAAATATGACTTCTATCCTTTGGAGTTGGTTCAGAATTATTTTTGGCCCAGTACATGGTCAAATTTTTTGAAAATGTTCCATGTGTAGTTTGAAAGAATGCACATTCTGCAGTTGTTGAATCCATGTTTTTTATATGGCATAAAATCAAATGTTTCAAACTGTGTTTTCCAAATTTCTGCAATTCCACTAGGTTTTGTTGTTTGTTCTGTTGATTATGGAAAACAGTATATTAGCAATGCATCATTGGAATTGTTGACTCTTCAATTTCTCCTTGTTTGTTTTGTCAGTTTCAGTGGAGGCTGTACTAAGTGATTTCCAATTATCCTCACAGTTCTAATCCAGGCAAAGTCTACTACTATCTCCTTATATATTATGTGGTTCAGTTTTGCCTCCATTGTGGTATATAAACTATGATGGTATCAACTTTTTTAAGATAGTTAAACTTTTTTAAAGAAACTTAATAAGCTATTCACTTGATTTCGTGTGTATCTTTAAAAAATAGCCAGGCTGGGCAACACAGCAAAAACCGTCTCTGTGAAAAAATACAAAAATTAACTGGGTCTAGTGGCACACACCTGTAGTCCCAGCTACTCAGGAGGCTGAAGTGGGAGGGTCGTTTGAGCCTGTGAGGCAGAGGTTTGCAATGAACCGTGATCGCACCACTGTACTCCAGCCTGCGAGACAGAATAAGGCCTTGTCTTTAAAAAAATAAAATTACAAATAAAAAATAGAAAACCATCAAGTTCAAGATGTCATGGGTTTATTGCTTTAAATTAAACTAAAATTAGCTATTTAAGTTTTTAAAAGACAGTCAGTTTAAAGGAAAGTAATTCATGAACAAAGTTACAGATTATACCACATTATGTTAATGTAGTTCACAAAAGACTGAGGTTTAAGAGACCTTGAACTGGGTAATAAATTAAAGCAAACCTCTTACACAACAAGAAGCACGATTTTAAATTGCTGTGCACCCTGTGGGCAGACAGTAAATAGAGTGATGTTTCTTTATAATGCTACAGTAGGAGTTGGGACTAATGCTGGCATTATATACTAATAATGGCTTTTAAGGGTTTTGAGTTATTTATACCCTGCTTTTTTGCTGAAACAATTTCAAGTGTTATCTAGGTGTAGTTATTTGTGCTTTCTAAAGAGATAATATTTACCTTCACATATTGACATGTTTACAAAAGTCTTGCTTTATGTATTTAATGTACTGTTCTTCCGAAACCACTATGTTTCGACTGCTGATTTCTGGTTAAACCTGTGCACTTTACTTCTCTACCTCTCACTTTTGGGTTATTTCACCAGCTTTAGGTGAATAAAATAAGTGAGGGGGTGGTTGAAGTTTTGATTTGGGATCATTTGTGGGAATGTTAGTTTACCCTTCTTGAGGCCACTAATACAAGTAGTAGAGAATTTCCAATAGTTTGATCACTTAAAAAAACTGACAGGATTTGGCCTACAATTCTCCAAGAGTAACATGGTTTATATCTATGTAGTCTTTAAATGTTGCAAAGCACTTTCACAGACACTGTTTAATGTAGTCTTCACACAACCTTGTGAAGAGTGTTGTTATACAATGTATGAGGGTACCCTAGGATGATTGTAATTTAGAGTTGTTACGATTAGAGAATTGTCTTCTAGGACATTTGAAAGCAGCTGGTGTATTTCAGGAGAAAATTTATCTTCAGGAATAGCCTTGTTTTGTCCCGGGAGAGATCGCTATGGAGCTGATGGAGGGCAGTACATTACAGACAGTTCTTTGGATTGAAATGTTAAGAATTTGGTTTCATAATGTAAAGCAATTCTATTAGCAAGACTATGAATCCAAAGATTTAGACAACTTTTAAAATTTGTTTTAAGTTTCCTTATGCTGAAAAATTGTATTGATTCTTGGGGAGAGTGTCTATGCTCTTGCTTCAACACTGGCTCATAGGAACAGGACAACTGACTGATGGTCAAAAGGAATGAACAAAGTTCACCTTCTCTTTCACATCATCTATGACGTACTATCACATGTACTATTCTTAGGTGTGAGGTGTGTTGGCTAAACCAATGATTTCTCAAATATGGTGTCAGTAAAGGCTTAATAACCCAGACATCAGACTTTGGGATATATGCTGTGAACTACTGTGATATCCATGTCTATGGCATGTGAGCCAGGATGCATCTTGAAGATGGGGGTTGGCATTTTCTTGAAGAACATAGATCTTCCTATCATGATTCATCCTGGGGAAGGAAATGAAGCATAAACTGATGAGTCTTGAATATGCCCATTGTTAGGAGCTGAGCTGGCTTCACTTCTCGTGGAAGCTTGATAGGAGCTATACAAATAATCAGGGTTTGGGTCTGGAAACTTCTGGGAGCAAATAAAGGTGAAGGTGGGTTCACCATAAAACTAATGAAGTTTAATTTCCAGCATTCTTTACTTTTAGGCCCCCTTCAAAGATCTTGGGAGTGTGTACATGGTCATATGTTTTTAAATTTGCAAAGGTAAGATATGTTTGTATTCTTTTTCTTACAGAAAGCCCCCAAATTATATAAATATTATTATATTATTCGCCACAGAATCTGGATCTGTTTTTGTTCTAAGGTAATTGATGTTATACTTTCGTTCTCTCCAAGCCTTTGCTACCATTCTGCTAAATATTGTGGCCTTGTCTCACCTGTTCTTTGGAGGAATTGAAGGGGACTGGGTGTACACTTTGCATGAAATGGTGTGGGGTTATGGCAATATCCTGGAGAAGCTGGTTATGAAATGCAGTAAGTTGACTAGCAAAGAGTGGAACAGAGGTCTGGAATGGCTGTTAGGAGTCCAAAGACTGTGACAGTACAAGAAAAAGTGTGCGCCAATGCAGGAGCGTGCCTAGAACAAGCATGCTCACCACAACTTCCATATCTATTAAAGGCAAGGGAACCTTGAAAGAAGATCCTTGACACCACTATTTATGTGTGGCCATCTCGAGTCATATTCATTTTAGAGATTAGAAGAGCTAAAGAGAACAGAGATGGAGCAAACAACTTGAGCAAGACTATTAAGCGAGTTATCAGAATTAACAGGAATAGAGCCCAAGTCTCCCTGATGTCATGGTCAGGTTCAGTCTTCCTGAAAGCGGTACCTTTCAGGTTATAAGGTTATATGTTCCTATCTAGGAAAATTGAGCAAAAGGGGAAAAAAGCAACTTTAAACTCATTTTTGTTGCTGTTGTAGTGACATATCTACTTGTTTACATGAAGTGATTGATAACATCCCAGAATTCTTTGGAGGCTAGCCCAAGAAATTTCAACGAATTTCAAACTAGACTATGTAGTCAAAGCTCTGTTACTATGTGTTGCTGTCTAATTCCATTTATAAGAATTCCAAAAGGGGAAAAAAGTAATCTGTGGTGATAGAAATCAGAAAGTAATTGAGGAGGGGACAGGGGAGTTGATGGGAAAAGGGGCATAAGGGAACGTTGTTGTTCTAGATCTTATTACTGTCAAACCTCCTCAAACTGAATACCTAGGAACTGTGCATTTCATTGTACTTAATTAAACTTTAATACAAATATAAAAATAAATTAAGACTAACAAAAACACCCGTAAGAATTAAAAATTGTATTACATTTAAACTCTGTTACTCTGCAGTGGCATGGGTAAAGATTCTCAAGATTCAGGGAGGTAAGATTTTCTGTTCTTCCTGTTGCAAGGGAAAATGTTTCTCCACATTACTACGTGTCACATATCTGTCTCGCTTTTATCTCTCACTGTCACTAGAGAACATAGAGAACAATGCCACTGGCAGACACAATATCATTATCAAGCAAACCAATATTATTACTAGAAAAACTGGCAAATGTTTTCAGCAAAATCCTTTCCCAATTATGGGGTTGAATTTCCTTTCTGTCTTCTCTGATCTTCCAGTGTTTTTGCTGTGGATTTTTAAAAATAAACTCTAGTACGACCCTATAATTCTAGGTGCCAGTGCTCTGGCTCAACAGGATTAATTCCAAGTAAATACAAACTTGGTTTCTGAAAACTTTTATACTAACTACCTTTTGGACATATTTTTAAATAAATGTGTATATTTTTCAGATTCTAAAGAAAATACACCCTTGATATAAATAAATATAATCCCAAAGATAGTCACTATTCACATTTTAGTGTATGATAGTTCCCCCTTATCCACGAGGGATATGTTTAAAGACCCCCAGTAGGTGGCTGAAACCACTGATACTACCGCTGATAGTACCACTGATAGTACCGCTGATAGTGCTGAAACCCTGTATATACTATGTCTTTTCCTATACATACATACCTATGATAAAGTTTCATTTATACATTAAGCACAGTAAGAGATTAACAACATAATTATTAATAATAAAATAGAACAATTATCATAATATACTGTAATAAAAGTTATGACAATGTGCTCTCTCACTCTCTCAAGATATCCTAATATTGTCAGACCACGGTTGACTGCAGGTAACTGAAACTATGGAAAGTCAATCTATGAACGCAGCAGGACCGCTGTACTTTTCTTTTTGTCATGTTCCATAGTTGAGATCATGCTGCATACTCAATTTTTTTTTTCACCTTTTAGAACAAAACATCATAGTATAAGAATTTTCTGATACTGTCGGAATTACTGTCTAACATGGGATTGGCTTGCTAATTATTGGTCCTTTATTTTCAAATCATCAACTTTCCAATGATTATTTTCTTGTTATATGAATTAATAAATCAGAGTCTGTCAATAGCATTTTTTCAAGTTTCATGTTAATCAAAATTATATAACATCTTTTGAAAGTAACAGGTCGACTGTAAGCAACTTGAGGGCAGGGATAATACTCCCTCCATCTTTGCAGTCTCCACAGTGTCAGCACAGAATGGGAACTAAATAAGCACTCATAGCTTGAATGAATAAACAAGCAACTCCCACTTGCATAATATTTCCACACAACAGGGCTTCAGAGGTAAGTGTGTAGAGCTCAGTGCCTATTACTTACCTTCTGGAAGTAACATGGATTGTGCTGAGAACTCAAGCAAAAATAAAATAACTTTTAGACTACTTCTCTCCTGCTCTGGATTTGTAAGCCACCTTCTCACAACAGCATGGACCACATATATATATTGACACTGCTCAGCAAGCTCTAGTTAAAACTTTTTTAGATGTTCTAGCCATAGATGTTCTAGGGTTTTTCTAACTGATTATCACTGAATATGATTTGGAATTGCATGTTTTGTGATGCCTGTTTTTGTTTTAACACTCAGTTATCGCTTGACTATCAGAGAGGCCTTATAGAACAGAAATTCCAGATATTTCAGAGAATTTTTTATTCACAGAATAAATGAATTCTAAAAAGTTTAAAACCATAGAGACCCTAAGTAATCATCTATTTCCAGGTCATTTTTAAAGAAGAGGGAGGTAGTCAGTTGATTTGCCAAGGCATTGGGCTAGCCAGGAGTGATGCAGCAGTATTTTCACTTCCATTTTATAATTTTTATGTGACAACGTACTGCCTCCCATGGGTCTAAGATTTATTAGAAACAATTCATGTCTAGGAAATACCATTTTCATTTTTGATAAGATCACTCCGAACATGAGGGAAATGTGCTTAAGCAGGAAATTTGACAAGGTATTTTATATCTTTGTACTTATAGAGGAGTAATATAAGCTAGATGCTGGGACAGTCATTATTGTGTTTTTAGTGATTCATTTTACTCTTTGGCCTTGTGAAAAATGACAGACAATAAATATGCATAAAGCATAAATGTGTAGCTTAATGATTTATTATAAGACTAACAGATGTGTAATCACCAACCAGATCAAGGAATAAAACACTATCAATGCCTTAGAAACCCACCCTTAAAGTATTCATCCGTAAACACAAATCTCATCCTCCCCTCTAAAGATAACCATTATCCCAACATATTTCTTGCTTTTCATTATAACGCTAGGGACTGATCCCTAAACACTATAGATTGCTTTTGTGTGTTTTCAAAATTGATTTAAATGGAATGAAAAAGTGTGTATAATTTTATATCTGGTATATTTTGCTCAACATTATATTCAAGATCTATCTAAGACCATGGCTATACCTACAGTTTATTTCCTTTATAAGATTCCATTACTTGAGAATTCTACAATCTCTTTAAATTTATTTTCTGTATTCATTTTACTATTAAGTGACATTTGGGTTATTTCTGAACTTAGTCTATTATAAATAATGACTGGGGCTTTTTTCCATGCATCCTAGCATACGTATGTACCCACTTCTGCTGGGTATATACTTAGGGGCAGAATTGTTGTATTATAATGTATCTGCACCTTCAATTTTAATAGATAAATCTCAGAGTTTTCCAAAGTGGTTGCACCAATTTGTACTACCACTAGTTACATATGAGCTTTCATTGATCTATATCCTTACTAAAATGTGGTATTGTTGGGGTTTTTAAATTATTGTCAGTCTGATTTGTGTGTATCTTGTAGTTTTTATTTGTATCCTTCTGGTTATGAGTGGGGTTGAATAACTTTTCATAGATTTATTAGCTATTTTTCTTTCTTCTTATGAGGTACATGCTCAAAACTTTTGTCTATTTTTCAATCAGTTTTTCTAGCATTCTTTATATACCCTGGTATGATACTTACTGATTATATGCAATGAAAAGGTTGAAAATTTTTTCTGCCATTCTTTGGCTTGCTTTTTCAGCCCTGAATGGTTTTCTTGATAAGCAGAAGTTTTTAATTTTAATGTAGTCAGATTTAGTAGTTTTCACCTTCAAGGTTAGTACTTTCTTGCATCTTATTTAAGAAATCTCTTACTTACTTGAATGCAATGAAAATATTCTTTGGTATTAATTTCTAAAACTTTATTGTTTTATCTATCACAGTTACACCTAAAATTTACCTGGATTTTTGTGAATGATGTTCTGTAGGGTCAAATTTCCTTTTTTCCGTATGAATGCTCATTGATCTCTGCATCATTACTGAAAAGACTATGCTTTTTGTAACCCTCTACAGTGCAACCTCTTTTGTATCTTCATATGGGTCTCTTCTGTAGCTCTTTTTGTTCAAATGATCTAATCCTCTCTTCTGAGAATGCCATAAAAGATATTAAAGTTTGCACATCCTCATATACGGTAGAACAAGTCTTTCTTTTTTCTTCTCCGAAAGTTCATTGGTTTTCTGGCCATAATGCAGCATCAGGGATTAGATTTATTTGTTGACTAATATATTAGAAAAGGAAATAAAATAAAAAACTATTCAATTAATCCAAAAGAAAGCAGAATAAAGGTAAATAATAACAAATGAGACAAAGAACAAAATGGCATCTATTAAAATATAAAAATTCTATAGCTAACATATACATAATGGTAAAAATTGAATGCTTTCCCTCTCACAGAAGGAACAAAGCAAGAATGTCTACTCTCACCATTCTGGTTGGCATTGTACTGGAGGATCTAGCCAATGCAATAAGGAGAGAAAAAGAAATGAAAGGTATACAACTCAGGATGGAAAAAAGTAAAACAATCTTTAGTCACACCACGATCTTACGTAGAAAATCCTTTGGAATATACAAAAAGAGTACTTGGTCTACTAATTCGTAACAAAGTTGCAAGCTACAAAAAAAAAAAAAGTACATTGCATTTGTACACATAATTTCAAATTAAATTGTAAATTTAAAATAAACTGAAGTTATAGGTTTAAATTAGAAATTGAAAGTTTAAAAAAATATTTACAAGAGTATTAAAAATACAAAACTCTTAGGAATTAACCTGACTAAAGGAATGCAGGATCTATATACTGAAAACTACAAATAACATTGAAAGAAATTAGGCAAGCCATGATGGCTCATGCCTGTAATCCCAGCACTTCGGGAGGCCGAGGCAGGTGGATCATTTGAGGCCAGGAGTTCAAGAACAGCCTTGGCAAAATAGTGAGACCCTGTTTCTACTAAAATTTTAAATTAAGAAAATTTTCTTTTTCCATCTGGGCTCATTAAAAAAATAATTTCAAAAGAAATTTAGAAAGACCTAAATAAATGATGAGATATACTGTTTTGTGGATAAGAAGAATCAAATTAAAGTTTCACTTCTCCTCAATATTTATAGATATTTAAATATAATCTCAATCAAAGTCTGAGCAGTCTTTTGTGTGGAAATTGACAAGCTGATGCTAAGGATGCACCAAAATCTCACAAATCACCACTAAAGATCTTAATCATGTAACCAAGCATTACCTGTTCCCGAATAACCTATGCAAAGAAAAAAATTTTAAAAAAAGAATCTAGTGAAAATTATTTTGAAAAAGAACAACAATCTTGGGAGACTTACACTGCCTGACTTCAAGATTTGTTTTAAAGCTACAATGATAAGACAGTGTGGCATTGGCATCAAGATAAAAAAAAAAGATCAGTTACATAGAATGGAGGGCCTGGATATACAGCCACACATATATGATCAACTAATTTTTGAAAAAGGTGCAAAGGCAATGCAGGGTCAAAATGATCAGAAAATCATACTGGAGCAAATGGATATCCATCCATCAGCAATGAAAAAAAGGACTTTGATCCATACCTTTTGCCAAATACAAAAATCGACTCAAAATGAAGCACAAATATAAAATAAACCACAAAGCTATAAAACTTCTAGGAGAAAATATTTGGTTAGACAAAGATATCTTAAACCATTTGAGCATGAATTCAGCATGATACATGAAGCATGTATGATACATAAGACATAAAATTTTAGAATTAAAAAATGAACTTTAGCAAAGTTAAGAACTTTTGCTTTCTGGAATAATTAAGAAAATAAAAAGGCAAACCACAAACTGGAAAAATATTTGCAAAACGTATATCTGACAAAGGGAGTGCATTCCAATTACATAAAGAACTCAACAATTCAATAATAAGTCAACTCAATAAAAAAAACGTGAAAACGTTTTGAACAGATGCATCATAAGAAGATACACAAGTAGCCAATAAAACAAAAGATGATTAACATCATAAGTCACTAGGGAAATGCAAATTAAAACTACAAATGAATACTACGGAAACCTATGAGAATGGCTAAAATTAGAAACACTGGCAATATCAAGTGTTAACAGGGATATAGAGCAATTCCAACTCTCATACATTGCTGGTAGAAATGCAAAGTGGTACATCCACTTTGGAAAATAGTTCAGCAATCCCACATCAAAATGTTTTTTCCAGGAGAAATGAAAACATACGTCCCCAAAAAGGTCTGTATGTGAATGTTCACAGGAGCATTATTCATACTAGCTAAAAAACTGAAAAATACCCAATTGTCCATCAACTAGTGAATGAATAAGCAAATGTTGTTATATTTATTACCCCACAATTTTAAAATGACTTATTAATATATGCAACAGTGTAGATGAATCTCAAAACATTATCTATGTGAAATAAGACAAATATATGAGACTCCTGATTATATAACTCCGTTTATGTGAAACTCTAGAATAGGCAAAACTGTAATGGTATAAAACAAAACAATGATTGCCTGGTGATAAGTATTGGGGGGAATGATTTCAAGGGACAGAGGGAACTTTTTGTGGGATAGAAAATTCTATATTTTGGCAGGGTATGGTGGCTCATGCCTGTAATCTCAACATTTTGGGAGGTGAAGGCAGGCAGATCACCTGAGGTCAGGAGTTTGATACCAGCCTGGCCAACATGGTGAAACCCCGCCTCCACTAAAAATACAAAAAAATTAACCAGGCATGGTGGCACACACCTGTAATCTCAGCTAGTCTGGAGGTTAAGGCAGAAGAATTGCTTAAACCGGGAGGCAGAGGTTAGAGTGAGCCAAGATCGCACTACTGCACTCCAGCCTAGACAACAGAGTGAGACTCTGTCTCAAAAAAAAAAAAAAATCTATATTTTGATTGTGGTGGTAGCTTACATAATTGTACATAATTGCCAACATTCATCAACTCTGCACTTAAAATGGGTAGACTTTGTTATTTGTAAGTTATTCCTTAATAGACATGGGGGGAAATAAAGAAGGATACTTTCTCAAATGAATAAAAAGGATGGTTTTTATCTTTTACCTTATATACTTCAAAAGTGTTTGATATTTATTTCAGCAAACATGTTTACTTATATTATTTTTATAAAAACTGATACAATGGTTATACAAAGAATAAATTTTTTAAATTATTAGCCCAAGCAAAAATTTCAGAACAGACCATATCTATTCTTTCGAGATGAAAGAAAGAGAGAAAAGGAGGAGGACAAAGGAAGAAGGGAGGGATACCCCCAAGCTCAGCCATCTCCTTCCCTTAATGAGGAGTGCTCTAAACAGATTTACAAAGGTGGGAATTGTTTGTTTATGTAGTATTCAGTATATCTGAAATCTTCAGTTTAGCTCTTCAATGCTAGAATCTGAAAACTTCAGCTCAATTCGATAGTATATATTAAACATCTACTATTTTTCCAGCCTTGTAGTAGGTGTTACAAAGGATGCAGAAGAGATAGTCTAAGTCAGAATAAAACTATTTATAACTTACTTATTAAATTTCGGTATTTATGCTTTGAGATGTATTAGAATTACTCTATTTCAGATTTTATTATAATTCCTCCAGAAAAGAGACAACTAAATTTCTCCTGAAAACATTTAGCCTAACAGAAGTTAATCCTTAATCCAACCCAGAATTTTAAAAAATAAAACTGAGCCATAACATACTCAATAAACCATTTTAAATATTTAGGTCATCCAGGACTCGTTCACTGACTGATGCTAAGAACTGTGACTTGCCAAAGACTGAATTGTTAGACTTATCTCACAATAATTTTGGGGTATCTCAGTCATTCTTAGGATTGAGTCTACCCAGCATAATCATCTATACTTAATTTTATAAAATTCTCAGAAATTTTTCTTCAAGTATATCTCAGAATATCAATGCAAAAACAGATAGAAGTAAATCTCTGATCGTTGTAGGTGTGCAATCTTATTCCCGGGTTCTCTATTCTGTTCTATTGGTCTATGTGTCTGTCCTTGTACTAGTACCATGCTGTTTTGGTTACTGTGGCTCTGTAGTGTAGTTTGAAGTAGGTTAGTATGATGCCTCCAGCTTTGTTGTTTTTGCCTAGGATTCCCTTGGCTATTTGGTTCCGTATGAATTTTTAAATCTTTGACAAACCTGACAAAGACACACAATGGGGAAAGGATTCCCTATTTAACAAATGATGCTGGAAGAACTGGCTAGCCATATGCAGAAAATTGAAACTGGACCCTTTCTTTACACCATATACAAAAATCAACTCAAGATGAATTAACGACTTAAATGTAAAACCCAAAACTATAAAAACCTTAGAAGAAAACCTAGGCAATACCATTCAGGACACAGACATGGACAAAGATTTGATGATGAAGACACCAAAAGCAATTGCAACAAAACTAAAAATTGACAAATGGGATCTAATTAAACTAAAGAGCTCTGCACAGCACAAGAAACTATCAACAGAGTAAACAGACGACCTACAGAATGGGAGAAAAATTTTGCAAACTATGCCTCTAACAAAGGTCTAATATCCAGCATCTAGAAGGAACTTAAACAAATTTACAATAAAAATAAAACTACACCATTAAAAAGTGGGCAGAGAACATGAACAGACACTTTTCAAAAGAAGACATACATGTAGCCAACAATCATATGAAAAAAAAAGCTCAACATCACTGATCATTAGAGAAATGCAAATCAAAACCACAATGAGATACCATCTCACACCCATTAGAATGGTTATTAGTAAACAATCAAAAAAAATATGCTGATGTGGTTGTGGAGAAAAAGGAACACTTTTACACTGTTGGTGGGAGCGTAAATTAGTTCAGCTATTGTGGAAGAGTGCGGTGATTCCCCAAAGATCTAAAGACAGAAATATCATTCAACCCAGCAGTCCTATTACTGAGTATATGCCCCAAGGAATATAAATCATTCTATTTTAAAGACACATGCACTCATATGTTCGTTGCAGCATTATTCACAATAGCAAAGACATGGAATCAACCTAAATGCCCATCAGTGATAGACTGGATAAAGAAAATGTGGTACATACACACCATGGAATACTATGCAGCTGTAAAAAAGAAGATCATGTCTTTTGCAGGGACATGGATGGAGCTGGAGGTCATTACCCTTAGCAAACTAATGAAGGAACAGGAAACCAAATACTGCATGTTCTCATTTCTAAGTGGGAG